AAAGTCTATGGTATACGGATTTGCTGTAATATCATTCAAGCTGTTTGGAAAATCCTTCTTTAAAGAAGCATAATGAAACAATTTTCATGTAAAAATAAAACGTTAACACACTTTATGAGCTCTATTTCATTATAGTAAATATATTTGAATATATTTCTTAAATGATTCCTTAGAAAAAGTTAATTTAGCTATTCATATTGATTTAACAAAAATCTTTGATCAATTATTTTTAATTAATGTGTCCCATATTTCTGCGCCACTGAATGTAAAATTGTCCTAAGGATATTTTACGACGTCATAAAGTCTGACTGTATGAAATCAGTGTTAATTAATAATTTTAGTCTCAAGATAACACATAAAAACGTAAATTGATACAAATAAATTAACGAGAAAAACAAATGAAAAATTGAATAGTTAAGTTATATCAGTACGAAAATTGAAATTTTTATGAGGGATTTTCCATTTTCAGTATCTGTTGTAATCTTTTTATTATAATGACTAAGCAATTATTCCATTATAATAATTGCGGTTAAATATTTTTCTAAAATGATTCCTTAATTCGAGTTAACTTGCATATCGATTAAATAAAAATCTTTTATCAAATATTTTTAATTAATGAGTCCCATCCATAATGACATCGTCATTTTATAACATATAAGCAGTGATTCGTATGATATTCCTGTCTCATTGGCCACACAGGTATGGCTGAAGTTTGGGACGTAATACAATAATTAACCACTCGAGGCAAGATAAATCCATGGCATGCTACAGTTGAGACACAACGTATCCACTCAGGCTGTCCCCTCTTAGCACATTGCGCCGACCTCTGCCGACAGATTCGTGTTAATGCGTACATGTCTGTACTTCAATCATTCGTGCAGTCTCTCCAGGCGTGCACTGTCCCTCGACCATGCAACACAACTAAATGAGAGAATATTCCAGTAATCCAGTTAGGAGTGGGCAGTTGAATTCAGTTCATAATGTTACGACCGATAAGTCCAAATATTATAGTATATAGGTTCATTTGGATGTACATGTTAATTTCAGATATTGTACTATCTGATTGTGGCTATTGATCTAATGGTATTATAGTTGAACTTTAACAATTTATTTAAGTATGATATTGTCTATATGCAAAATTTATGCTATACGTGTTTGTTGAATAGCATTGAGATTTGCTGTAATACCATTCGAGGAGTTCGAAAAAACATCCTTTAACGAAGCATAATGGAACTGTTTTTAAGTAAAAATAAAAATTTAATACACATTATCGGCGCTATTTCAAGAGCTGTCAGTTTTGGTGCATTTTCTAAAATCGCCAAATTTGGCGATTTCATTCGTTAGCAAAAGTTTATCCAATTTCAAAATATGTATAACTTGGAAGTACTAGAATATGCACATTGTCTACCAAAATATTTTGTTATTTAAGAAGTGAGTTTAACTGCATTGTTAAACTGCTTCACACTAAAGATTGCATAACATATTATTTTCGAATGGCAGATGTTTGTAATTAGGAAAAGGCTTGGATATGATAAGATCATTTTACAGCAATCACCACGTTTGAGTGTGCATGTTATGTTAATTTTTTTTAATTTTTCAGATTGTTTTTTCAGTTTTTTTTGTTTTTTAAGTTTTAAGTTTTCAGAAATTGCCCATTTTTTCAGAATTTCAAAAATCGCCAAATTTATTTGTTAGCAAAAAACTTCCAACTTCAAAATATGTATGACTTGGATGTATTAGATTGAGCATGTTGCCCACCAAAATATTTTGTCATTCAAATTGTGAGTTTAATTGAATTGAAAACCTATTTAACTTTAGAGATTGCATAACATATATTTCAGGAACGTAGATGTTTATAATTAGGGAAAAAGATTGGATATGACGATATCATTTTAGAGCAATAACCAACTTTTTCAATATTTTAATTATAGTTTGTATGTAATGTTTAAAAGTGGGTACACATAAATTTATAAAGATTTAGAAATTCAAAAGAAAACCTTAACTTTAAAAGAATCACTTTCTTTACAAAAATTATTAAAAAAAATCACTTTATTTATAAGAAATTAGTTTTTTAAAAATATTATTGACAGTACAAACTTATATTTACAATTTTTTGATTAACTACTATTACTGAAACTTTAAAAATATTGAATAATTTTTTTTAGGAAATTAAATTTTAGCTTTGATTACTCAGGTAACAATACAGGTAAACAATTTGCTTTCACAGTAAATAATTTATTTTTATAATGAAGTTTAACAATGAACAATTTGAACATTAAGTTCTGACGAGAAATTAAATATTATGAAAAAATAACATGCAGAATTTTTAATTAATAAAAAAACACATTTTTCTTAATTAAAATTATTAATTTTATATTATTTTTGAACTTCCTCTATGTAGTTCTATTTATATTATATTAATATGTATTTTCATTTAACTCAACTAATCACTCTGTAACAAAGTATTTACTCGTAATAATTGTGTGTGCAAAATATTTAAATATAATTTCCACCTAATGATCTTATTTTCTTAGAAAAAAAAAATTCATACGTGAAAGGATTATTTATTGATATATTAATTTCCTCAGCGATAATTAAAACTCTTTCCATGTACTAGCTTCGTAAATATTTTCTATAAAGAATACCTTTTATTAATCACTAAATACCCAATATTTTTTATTAATTACTCTCTATAAAGAATATTTTTTAAATCCCCTTACAAATGTGTGTTATTATTTTGGTATTAACTATCAAAATATTGCTACTATAAAAATTACCTAGTTATTAATTTTTTTTTTGTTAATACTTTTTGTTAATTCTCTTTCTATTTATGTTTTCAAACTTTTTATAAATGCCTTCTATTCTTGTGTGTTTCAATTTTGCAATATCTTCAGCGTAATCAAATTTTCTTTCCTTTTATTGTTAAGGACTTTCTTTGATGGAAATGACCTATTTTCAAAATAATTATTAAATATTTCACTCCTTCAATTATGCATTATTTATATTACTTCACTTCAATTATAATTTTCCCTTTTGGTTTTTTGATTATATTTTTTCTATAATAACGTATAAATATACTCTCAAGAGTCAAAACATTATGACCACCTGTCAATAACGAGTCACCTTCGGCGTTCAACACAGCTTCAACCCGCCTTGGCATGGATACCACAAGTCCTTGGTATATAGCCGGAGACAGATTGTACCAGATGTTTTAGCAACGGTCACACAAATCTGAGATATTGCGAATTGGTGGTCTTTGAACTCTGAGCTGCCGTCCCAGGACATCCCAAATGTGTTCTATCGGATTGAGATCCGGTGCGTTAGGCGGCCAGGACATTAACTGGAATTCAGCATCATGTTCCTGGAACCACTCCAACATAATTTTAGGCCTTGTGACAAGGGGCGTTGTCCTGTTGGTACATTCCATTTGCAGCTGGAAAAACAGAGGCTATGTAAGGGTGCAACTGGTCCGCAATGATGTTCAGATACTCTGTAGCATTCATGGTCTGCTCTACCACAACCACGGATCCCTGAGACGCATAATATACCTATTGCCTAAGAGAGACCCAAGAGACCTACCGCCACCACCGGCCTGTGTATGACCTACTGTACACTGAGGGAGCAACTGTTCGCCTGGAAGACGGCGTATCCTGACACGGCCATCGACGTGATGAATGACAAAGTGTGATTCATCTGACCAGACAACTCTCTCCTACTGATCCATGGACCAGACACGATGTTCCGGGCCCAGCGTAGGCGCAGTTGGCGATTACGCTTGGTCAGCAAAGGCAGACGAGTGGGACGTTTGCTGCGTAGCCCCATATCCAACAGTGCCCTCTGATCACTGTCCTCCGATACTATTCTACTTGGCCCTGCATTGTATTGGGCTGTAAGCTGAACCACTGTCTGGCTCCGGTTTTGCTTCACCATGCGAGACAGTCTCCGACGACCTTTTTCTTTGATAGGGTGTGGACGTCCAACACCATGTCGTCTACTGCTGGTTTCACCGTCATTCATCCACTTTGCATAAATACTAACAACTGTAGATCGCGAACAACCCACTTGTTCCGAGCCTTCGAGCCATTACAATCTACCCTCTGTCAAAGTCGCTTAGATCCGTAGGCTTTCCCATCACACACAGAAGTAAGTGAAAGAATATTTCTTCAGACTCTCCAGCAGCAGTTAAATAACACTTCCACCTGATCACGTGCCATCCACGTCATCCAGGCAAGTTCATTGCAAAATGTAGGGGTAGTCATAATGTTTTGGCTCTTGAGTGTATATATATAAATATATATATATATATATATATATATATATATATACAGAATAATCTAATGGAATATGTATGTCTTATCAAGATCAGAATAATGAAATAATTCTAATAAAAAAAAAGCTAGATAACAATATTTGAATATTTTAATGAGACAATCATATTATTTAATGGGACAACTTTGTTTAAAAACTAATTCTTAATTACGATCTAAAATTAATCTGTAGTGGAGAATTTTGATGCAAATTAAATCCCATGCCTATATTTCTGTGAAATGCATTTAGACTTAAATATAAACTTTTATAAATTTTTTTAAAAATTGAAAAAAAAACCAATTCTGATAAACCATAAGCTTTATTTTGAATAAATTTAATGTTTTTTCATGTTCACGAGTACTTTTTTTATTTCTCTACGTTTTTTTTTTTTTTTTTTTAATATGTTTGTTGTTGTTGTTTCTTATCCCACTTGGCTGGCCAAGCCCACAAGCCCATATGGACTCATGATTGAAGGGGAAGGAAGCAGCTTCTGTTGTGATGGAGCACCCGTAGGTAGAAGCCTGACTTTTGCTCTGTGACGCTCTTACAGTCATAGAAGACCGGGACCTACGGCTTAAAGTGGATTCCGAACCACTACAAACATCCATGGCACCGCCGGGATTCGAACCCGAAACCTGTGGCACCGAGCGCCAGAGCGCTAGACACTCGGCCATTCAGGTCCCAAATTTGCCAACGGCACGCAGTGTTCCCAGGTGGTCACCCACCCAAGTACTGACAGCGCCCAGTAATGCTTAACTTCGGTGATCTAACGAGAACCGGTATATTCAGCATGGTACGGCCGTTGGCTTTTTTAATATGTTAACACAACATACTGATTTCTTTATAATCCCAGGGATTCCGGGAAAAATCGGGATTCCGATCTTCATTTAACGGAATCCCTATATATAATTTTGTAAATAAATTTAATATAAATTTCTGCTGAGTGTTTTCCATATCAATATACTATTTTTTTTTTATCAAATAAATGCTAATAAATACATAATGAATTTTAAATGGGTTTTTGTGCTTAAATTTAGCAACATGATATTTTAAACAGCTTTATATCAAAGCTTTTTCTAATTTTTTCATTCTTGTTTATTTGCTTTGAATATAAAATAAATAAATATAAATTGAATAACATTTTTTTAATTTAAAAATTCTTCAAAAAAAAAAAAAAAAATGAAATGTTTACGTGTTTACGTAGTTTCTATTTTTGTAAATAATAGATACATTTAAATTTATAACGATCATGAGTCACTTCCGTTGAATTTAAAGTGGACCCAAAGTCGAACTTTCCTTTCTTGTAGTAGATTCAGTATTTTCTGATGAAGTTTTCTTGACATTCTAGTATTCTTCTTGATTGCCTTCGACTTTGCGCCTGAATCTTTTTTATTTTGTTCAAGAATATTTGTGATTCTAATGTTCTAGACTCTTTAGGACTCTTTTTTACCATCTAGCATTGGTTTTCTGCCAATTGTTGCTACAGATAATAATTTTTACATTTGTACAGACATTGAGAAAAATTGAAAAAATACTCATTTAATTAAAAAGGAACTACCTGAATTTTTTTAACAACTAACAAGACAAAATACAAAGGATTCAGAGAAAAAATCATTTCATTTTTATTGCTATTGCGTTAAAAATATTATAATTTTTTTTTCTTTTAAAAGAGTATTTTTCATAAAAATAAAGATGCATTTGCTTTTATTATCTTAAAATATATTCTGTTTAAGTGCACAATTTTAAGTCAATTTTTATTTTAAAAAAGGTAAATGTGCAGTTTTACTTTTTTTTCAAATAGTTAATATTTCTAAAGACTTAATATTTATTTTTAAATGAACAGATTTTTAATTTAGTGAATACATTTAAGATTTAATCAAATATTTTTTTACTTATTACTGTGCTTATAATCAAATTGATATTATTATAAGAATATATTTTTAATACTTTAATGATGTTCTCTTGAAATAAAATACAATTTTCCCTAAAAGCTTTACATAAATAAATATTTATTATTATTCTAGGGGTGAATTCTGTTCTTAAAAATATCATATTAATAATTTGTAGTAAAGATAATTTTAATGGCGATTGTATTTAAAAAAGAAGCACATTTTCTTAAAATATATATAAGTTACTATTTTTAAATATTATTTAATAAGCAGAATTTTTTTTATTTAAATTAAATCATTAAATATATAAATATTAAAAATTTAGAAAATTAATTAATAAATTAATTGACAAATATTAATAAATATGATTAATTAATATAAAAATTAAGTAAATTTGTTCAATTAAGGAAAAAATGGATAAATATTTATAATAGTAAATTAAAGAAATATTAATTTATTCAAAATTTTCAAACTTTGATATTAAGCAAAAAACAATATCAGTAAAATACATAGGGCATTTAAAATCTTTTAAAAACTTTTTGGAAGATTTAAATATGTATTACTTAAATTGCTTATCAGGAAACATTGGTTTTTAATAATATGTTTTCATTGTTTTTATGTAACAAAATGGTTTTATGTTTAATATCCTGAGGAACTAATTGTTACAGAGTGTATGTCCCATTTCTGTTGTTTTGGCGCAAAAAATGGGGTAGAGGCGAAAAAGCTGTGCAGGAGAGGTCATTTCCATCTCTCTCTTTGCCTGATACAAAAGGAAATTTAACAGATGGAATGAATTTAAACAGACGAGTAAGACGACGATTCAGCCGACTAGGAGGGCTGATCGTTTCATTCGGATGAGACATAAATTCAATTGGTGATGACACGGAATGTTTAATTTAGCTGACTCTGAGGAGGATTCAGCTAGCATAGTAGCACGGTTGTATCAGTGTGAGAATAGTAAATAAGTTCAATTGCTGATGAGACCAATTGTTTGAGTTAGCAGGAGTCCTTCAGTTATCACTTGTTAGGTAAAAATAGGTGAGAACGCCAATTGATGGTGATGTCAGTTGTGTTTATCTAATTTTGAGAAGTTGATTGCTCGTGGTATCTGGACCTCATTAATTGTTTAATAAAATAATATGGAGAAGGATTCTATGATCTTCGATTCTACAAACTCGTAGATAAAAATACTGTATATAATTCTGAAGAACTTGGAGGAAATTATTTCGAAACCATTGAGGAACATCCCATTTTAGTTAGATTTGCACAGTCGACAAGATCTCCACTTAGTAGTTAGGCTATATTATGGAGAATGGTAAATATGGATCATAACTTCGATTCAGCAAACGTTTAATTAAAAATACTGTATATAATTCTAAAGAACTTGGAAGTGATAATTTAAAACCACTGTGGAACATGTCATCTTAGATAGACTGTCACAGTCGGCAGGACCATCACTCTGTAGTAGATTAACCTTTTGAATGAATCAAACAAATTATGTTTGAGTCTGAATAACTTATGTTTGATTCTAGATAAATATTGATATTTTTTTTGTTTTACTTTTTTGCTTATTTGCTGAAAACAAATAGAATTAAAAATATTTGAAAAGGAAATAAGAGAAGATCTTCTAGTCATCGTGAATCATATAGGAGGATACAATGGATATGATGCCTTAGATACAATGAAGGTTGCTGATCTTAAACTTTGAATTCTAAATAGTGAAAACTATAAAGAAGATATATATTTTGAAGAAAATATATAGTATATTTTTTTTACTGGGGACACAAAATTGAAAGAAATATAGAAGAAACAAAAAAATAGAGTAGAATAGGAAAAAAATAAAATCAGGAAATGCAAAACTAGAATGTTATCAAAAATTTTTCCGAAGAACATAAAGAGATATTTGAGACTGCTATTGGTTCGCCAATTGAGATCTCCATATCTAGTGTGCGTAAATTATAGCTTCCAATTTCAAACTTATGCGCTTTGAATGAAGAAAAATAAATAAGGATTCTGGAGAATGTGCGAACTTTATAACATACTAATAATATTTCTTTCATCCAGGAGATGAATGCGACAGGCTATGCAACTTCTACTTTAGAAGAGATTGGTTTGGTTTGGTTTCTCGCATCTATGGTTATTTTGTGCACACTTTAGGGTAATTAGATCGGCAACTACATACTTTAGAAGAGAGGAATATACCAATAAACATTATGGATTGTGATGGTTCAAATAATCTTTATTCATATGAAGTAAAACTAAGAGGTTAATAGGGGCAATGCGTATAGTTGGGCAAAGATAGTAATTTTTCCAGTCATGTAAGGCCTGTTAACATCGCAAAAGATAATAAAACAGTGACGCTTCCTCAAATAATTACCTTTGATCAGTCTATGGATTATAGCCAACACATGACGATATTGATTCTGCATGGTGCATGAGTTCAAATGATATGTTTACTAAAGAAACTCGAAAGGAAGATAATTACGGACTGAATCATGTGGACGGAGAAGCATAAGGCGGATGAGTTGCAGAAGGGTCTGGTGAACGTTGTGTTTATCTATGTGACTTTTCCAAATCAAGGATCATCAGTGAGAAACTTCAATGTGAGTGTTCAAATCCTTCCCAACTCATGGAGAAAGCCATGGATTTATCAAGGTGAAATTTCTTAGCATAATTCACCTCATTCCTATATAGTCAAGTTTCTGGATGGAAGTGTATATCATGTGCAAGAGGATATTGTCACCGATACTAAGCAGATGGAGTTAGTTTTGAAAAGGAGTAAGAATTTTTATGCAGATGGTTTTCCTCTTTCTTCTGTGATATAAGCTGATGGTTACAAGAAATATCATCTGATAATTCTAAAGTTAAATGTGTATTTAATATAATAATTCGTCTTTTTTTTCATAGGTTATGAATACTTGAGATTTTAATATCTAAATTCGTTAAATTCATTATTTTTTAAATAATCAATCATATTTTATAAAAAAAAGCTTTCGGCATTTTTTATAAAATATGATATTTTTATTAATCCTATTTACTCACATTTTGCTTTGGTTGCAAATTAATGGTAAATATTCTGTTGTCTAATCAATGATAGTAATACGTCAATATATAAGTTCGTGACATTAAATTGTTTATTTTCAATTTCTTTTGTATCTAGTGTATATTAGAAAAGTGGCATACACTTATAATTTGTCTGATTGATCATCCGTATAATGCTTCAATCACGTCTAGAGGATGTCTGCAGATTATATGTCAAGTTTTTTGTTGTCTTGTCACTAAAGAAAAGGGTTGGGGGGGGTGACGCGAAGAGATCCATTTTCTTTTCTCTCTCTCTCTCCCTCTACCAGATACGAAAATTAAAAGAAAAAGAAAATAATACGTGGGTGACAGTAAACCAAATAATTTAAACAGACAAGAAAAAGGATTCATAAGACAAAACCATTGAGAAACAGCTCATCTTCTTTACACGCTGCATTCCATTTATTTTTAACTACTTTTCATATTCAATCAGTTGAGGAGTTGCAGATACGTAGGCGAATTGTTTGCAAGTTGGTTTAATCTTTTACTCATGCAAATTTTTCTAACCTTTGGTTTACATCCAAGTCCGACGTAATGTGCTGAAAGCATATGATTAGTTGTAACGTCAGGGCAGGAATTTTTAAATCCCATATAGTGTGTGGGATTTATTGAGAAAGAAAAATGAGAGAGGACTGTCTGGTTGGTTGCAGGCAACATGACTTGATCATATTGAAGTTACAACCAAAATATGGTTTTTGTAAGTTTTACCTTTTGTTTTATATACATAATATAATCTTACTATGTTAAATTAATTAAATCTGATTCTTGCTTCTTCTACAATCTACACCATGATATTCAACTAAATTTTCTGACTAGGCGACCTCAACAAGAAAA